AGGGTCGCTATGAGTCAGAATCAACTGAGTGGTAATGGGTTGGGTTTCGTATGTATGAAAGGAACAGAGAGGTCACTGGACATCACAGTCATGAATTTGAATCTCCAGGGAAGTTACGAGGTGACACTTAGAACTGGATGAGTTGGAATAAACCTAACCTCATTCCATTTGTATGAAATATCAGGAATGGACAACTCTATAGAGACAAAGTAGATTACTGATTGCGTAGGGCTGAGGTGGGGAAGTGGAGAATAAGAAGATTGGGGGGTGATGGCTAAGGCATGTGGGATTTCTTTTAGGGTTAATGAAAATGTTCTAAAATTGGTTGTGGTGATGCTTGTACAACTCTGAATATACTAAAAGCCATTGAATTGTATACTTTAAAATGGTTAATTGCATGGTAGGTGGACTGTGTCTCAATAAAGCTGTTAAGAGAAAATGAAAACAAACCTAACCTGGACCAAGCTCCACAAGGGAAGGCACCCATCAGCTTCCCCAGACCTGTGTAGGGGCCTGGTACCTAGTAGAACAGTCAACAGATACTTATGGATGTATATGTTGGAGTCTATAAAGTAAATGGAGCCCTGGTGACGCAGTGGTTAAGAGCTCAGCTATTAATCCAAAGTTTGGCAGTTTGACTCCACCAGCCTCTCCTTGGAAACCCTGTGGGGCAGTTCTGCTCTGTCCTACAGGGTCACTACGAGTCGGAATTGACTCGACGGCAACCGTTTGGTTTGGTTTTATAAAGTAAATAAGCAATTGCAATGGCATGTAATTAGTGCTAGGGAAGTGCACCAAGTGTGAGAGGAGCATAGTGGAGGGGCAGCTTCCTGTAGAAATTTGTGATGTCTACATTGATGTTTATTGGGTGAGAGGCATTAGCAAGGCTACGTGAGGGGTGGGAATAGTGTACCACAGGTGGCTTAGTGAGGCTTGAGTGCTGAGTGAGAAGTTAGAAATGAGGCTGGAGATGGGAACAGATCCAGAAGGGCTTTGTGAGCCAGGTTGTGGGATGTAGAATTTTTCCTAAGGGGAAAAGAGAGCCTGTAGTAGTAGCAGATTTATGTTTTAGAGATCACTTTGACTGTACCATGGAGAATGGATCGAAGAGGGGTAAGAAGCCTGTGAGAAGGCAGTTTTAGCGTCCAGGTAAGACATCAATGTGTCTGGAACCCTAGTGGTGCCAATGGGGAGAGAGGAAAGTGGACAGTTTAGAAATATTTAAGGGATTTAATCAAGAGGATGGCAGATGGCTGGGAGGAGGAGACAGAGGAAAAAAGGCAAGGATGAGGTCCAGTTGTATGGCTTGGGTACCTGGGTAGTTGGAAAAGCCCTGGAAAAGGAACAGGCTTTGGGAAGATGTTGAATTCAACTTTGGTTATGTTGAGTTTGAGGTGCCTGGGACATTCAAAAGGCATCCAGTCAGTAGTTGGATATAGGTATCTGGAGCTGAGGAGAGAGACATATGAATCATCAGCATACTGCCTCAGCAGTAAAATGGTTGAAGTGGTCCAGCGAATGTGTTTCAAGAGAGAGGAGGAAAGGTCCTAGAATGGAACCCTGTGGAGTGACCTTTAAGAGGATGCTTGAGGAGGAGGGGGAGAAGGCTGTAAGGAGAATCAGAGTAGATGGCCAGAAACTTCTGTGTCGATCATAGCAATTCATCTGCTTATTCAGCCACTGTATGTCAGCATTTACTGAGTGTCTGTCAGCCCTGGGTATATTCAGAGACAAGTGAGACTTGACCTTTGACATCAAACTGAGACTAGTGGCCACCACTCGATTGCAGCCTTCTGAAACAAGAGGCCTCTTTCTTACAGGCCAATGCCAGTCTTATTTTCTAACCAATAGATTGTACTTCCTTAGCAGTTTATCTACAGCATTGGAGTCCTTCCCAAGCTCACCCTCCTAAATCAGGCAGGCCTAGAAGAGCATGCCTTTCTCAGACCTTGGTGGCTAGGCCGGCAGCCAAACCAAAAGCCTTCTGTCCATGGGGATGGATGGCCTCCATAGGGCATCCCAGGGCTGTCTTGGGGGCAAGGGAAGAAGGGAGCCCATCGTATGCTTGGGGTTTAGCAAATTATACCCACATACCAGGCACAGAAACAGACAAGGAAGGCACCCCCGCTCTGTGGGTGAAACAAAGAAGCATCCTCTTTCCACGTGCCAACCCATCTGCTTCTTTGCCTTCACAAACATAAACATGCCTTTTTCCTTTTTTTTTTTTTTTTTCATTCTCTGCAGCTCTGAATACATGAAGAAGAGGAGTAGGAGATGGGAGGAAAGGTAAGGTTGGGAGAGGGCAAGAGGAAAGGAAAGGAGGGGAGTAGGGAGGAGGCTCCAGTGACTGCCAAAACAATAAATTGCACCCTGCACTACCTCAGTCTGGCCCCTTTTTTGTCGTGTGTGTGTATCAGTTTCCTGACTGAAGACAATGGCCAGGGAATTACTGTGGCCTCGATGGACCTAATTGTGGGAAGCTTCTTGGTGTGTCACAGGCCTTGGAGGCCCACTCCCATGTCCCCTCAGAGGCTGGCACAATCTCCACAGGTCAGCTGGGTGCGGTTTTCCCTGCCCTGGTCCCTTTTGTTCCTGATGTTCTCATCAACCTCCCATCACCTGGTGCAGTGGTCTCCTGACTATCCTGAGTAGGAGGCAGCAGGAATGAATGCTTTCCCAATCCTGCCTGGCAGCAGATTGGGTTAGTGTTGTAGAGCAGCTTTGCCCTGTGTGGAGACCTGTGAGAAGCACCTGTAGGGGGTGGGTGGGTGGGGGAGTGTGTGTGTTTTGCGGGGATGTACAGGAGGGAGGACAAGGGTTCTCCCTGCCCTCTACCATCTCACAGGCCTGCCTGGTCCTGGGCCTGAGCAGGTCCACCTTGCCTAACTACCAGCCACTGATGGAGAAAACTTGAATGGATGTCCTGGGGCTGATCTACACTGCTCTGAGTTAGGTAGGCTTGATGGGGCAAAGGCCTGAGTGTCCATGCCCTTTTTGTCATGACCTTGACAGTCCTTCACCTCTACCCGGCTATACTCACAATGCGCTAAGTCTAGCTCCTGCCCACCTTGACTCTCACAGCTACTCTCAGCTAGCGCTGAATGTCAGGCTCTGGCCTCAGGTCCCTCCTCGTAGAGGACAGAAAGTTAGGGACTTTGTCTTTCCCCAGCATTGGAGAATGGGAATGTAGGGCCACTCAGATTCCCAGCAACAGACACAGTTGACCCCTGGCTGGGCTGATAACATTTTTCCATCCTCCATTTCTTGTTTAGCCCCTGCCCTCTCCTGTGGGTTAAGCTGGGAGCTCGTGCTGGCTGGGTCACCTCTGGTCAGTCAGTGTTCACTTCCTCCACTCCCACCACACAGGCTATGCTTTTGATGCCAGTGGGCAGTCCTACCCTGCCAGTGGAATGTCCACTCTTGTGGGGCTGCAGGCCTGCGGGGCTCCTGAGGAGGTGGTTCTGGGATTGCAGCCCCTCTGCAGGGGTCCTGGGAGCAGGCCCAAGCTGTGGCCAGCTTTGGGTGCTGGCTTAGTCTCTTTATCACTTGTCTTCTCCCACCCCTATCTTGCTGCCCCAGCTGACCACTCAAAAAACCGAGCGGCACCATTCCTCCCATAGTTGCAGAGAGATCACAGAGCTATGTCAGTGTACCGAGGACGTTGGCCTGCCCCCACCCCCACACCCTGCCTGGAATGAGCCACCTGCATCCACACACAGGTGTTTCCTGTGCTCCTTCCTGTTGCCGTTTTTTCTGCTCAGCTTGGCTTCCCCAGCAGGTGGTTAAGTTCCAACCAAACCTTCATACATAGCCCTGAATGCTGGGGGGCAGGGCTCTCTGGGGATCTGGGTCACTCCCCAGGGGAGATTGTTGGCACCTCATTGGCTCATCCTGAGTTGCAGCGCGCACTTTCCCTAGTGTGACGGCTCCATGCACGTGCTGTCACGCTCTGTGCTACCACAGGCACTGGGGTACCAGTGTGGGCTTGGGGAGTGGGGGAGGCCCTACCCGGCCAGTCTCCCTCACCTTTGGTGGGAGAAGAGCCTGGGGGTGGGCTGACAGCCTCAGAACAGGCCTGACATCCTGGAGTCCACCCCACCTTTAAGTTCCCCACATAGAATTCTTAACCTTTTGGGGTTAACAGACATTCATGTGCCCGGCAACTCTTGGGGGAAGCTGAACGCTCTCCCTGGAGCCCTGCTTCCTGAAGCCGGTCGGGTCAGCCTGCTGTCCCCAGCCACAAGGGGTCAGTCAGTTTTGTTATTACAGAGAGGGAGGTGGGCTCTGTGAAGGGAAGGACTTGCTGTCAAGGTCACAGGGCAGCCATCCAGGTCTCCTGTCTCCCAGGCCCCAGCTTTCCCCCTCTGCCAGGATCTTGACTCTTTTGCCACCCAGTCCTCAAGGAGCTCCCAGCTCCCTGTGTAGGAAGCAGCCTGGACGAGGGGCAAACCTAAAAGTCCGGCATTTCCTGATGGGGCTCTGCTGCCCCCTGGTGGCCATAAATTCCAGCCACCATTGTGCCTTCCTTCCCTGCCTGCTTCCTCTTTGCCCCATAAAACCCACTGTGGTTGAATCGATTCTGACTCATAGCGACTTTATAGGACAGAACAGAACTGCCCTGTAGCGTTTCCAAGGAGTGGCTGGTGGATTCGAACCTTTTGGTCAGTAGCCGACCTTTTGGTCAGTAGCTGAGCTCTGTTACCACTACACCACCAGGGCTCCCTTTGCCTTGTGGCAGGAGCTAAGTCCCAGAACAGGCAGCCTTTGGGCCTCTTCTGGGGCAACTCCAGGCCTGCAGCCTGAGCCTTTTCAGCAACATCCACACATAGTGCTCTCTTCTCCAAGCCCTGTTCCAGCTTCTCGGCTCTCATCTACCCGGATTTCCAGGAGAAATACACATGCCATTGTCACAGCTGCAGTGTGGACACACCAGTGTCAGGCAGGGCCACAGCCAGAAGGTGCTGGTGCAGAGGATCAGAGCACACCAGGCCAGGCCATGCAGGAAAAGCATTTTGCTTCTTTTTTATTTTCTGTAAAACTGTAAATAATATACAAAACCAAGGGATGTAGGGGGCAGAGGCAGGGTGGTCAGGCCTCAGACACTTATTTGTGGCAAAGGGCGTGCTGAGCCTAGGCTGGGAGGCACTTGACTGCAGGCACTGACTACCAACCCCAAGGAGAACAGAATATATTAGATTTTCATTGAAAGGAATCTGTGGCGGAGGGGTGTCCAGAGCCAGTCTTCACCCTCCCTACCAGTGCCTGGTGAGCCCTGAAAGTGGGGGTGGGGGGCTCTGAGAGCCTAGGGGGTTAGAATGCTGTGCTGGCCATGCTGCCGGGCCCGAAGATGCGGGGCAGGGCATCCAGTGACTCCTCCAGTCGTCGATGGGCAGACTGTCCCTCTTCCCCTGCAGTGGGTGAGGACGGGGTCAGGGGCAGCCCTAGCTCCATCCTGGTCCTATCACCCCTGGTCCCATCTCGCCCCTCCTCTCATCAGCCAGGATGTCCCCAGAGGTCTGCTTGGTCCATACCCCTGGCCCTCCAGCCTTACCACACTGTTGCAGGCTCTGCCGGGCAGCTTCCCGCACAGACTCTGTGTCCGTTTGGCACAGGTACACCAGAGGCTCAATGCCCTCGGGTGCCTAACAGAGGAGAGAGCATTGAGGGGGACCCAGGGGTGGGGTGAGGGGGTCAGGAATGGTTAGGGGGGTTGGCAGCGGTCACCTTGATGCAGCCCAAGGCCAGGCACCCAGCCACTCGCGTCTGTACATCCTCATCCTCGAGCTGGTCCAGGAAGCACAGGAGGGCCTGGATGGGGTTGGAGGGCAGACTTAGCCAGATTCTGAAAGCCTGGGACCCCAGTCCTTGCCCTCAAGGGAGCACTGGCCAGCCCTTACCCTCTCTCGGAAGGCAGGACCCAGTGACAGGCTTCGGAGCTGGGTGCTGACAGCAGCCATGACCTTGTTGTTGCCATGAACTAGCAGGGAGCTGAGGGCCCGCAGCCCGTCCTTACGCAGCCGCCCCTCAGGTGCCAACCTCAGAGCCTTCAGCACCACAGCTTGGTCGTCCGAGTTCAGATTCCGCACCAGTAAAACTAGAAGGAAGAGGGGCTTGGATTGGGACAAAGTGGCAGGGCAAGGAGCCTCTTGGGGAAGGGAGGGCTTGGTTATGCTCATGTCCTTGCCCACACCCTCAGGCCCACCCACAGAGTCAGGCTCCTTTGAGATCAGGGCCACTGGCTCACCCTCCTCAGCGGTCTCGGTCACATAGGCCTCCATGGAGGGACCATCCAACGTTTCGATATAACTCCAAAACTGGAAGACAGTGAGCTGCTCTCCAGGGCCTGGCTGGGGCCTCCTGGGCAGCTTCTGCCCCAGGGCATCCTCCAGGAACTTGACACACACTGTGGGAAGCAGTGCCCATCAGGGTTTGGATGAGCCCAGGCCCTCTAAGGGAAGAGAATGCCCCCAGGTCCAGGGTCCCCCATCCAAATCCTACCATCTGGGTCCTCCTGCCCCAGGCACAAGCTTTTGCTATTTCTTCTCAAGTGTTCTGCTCAGTATGTCTGTGTGGGCTGACCTGGCTTCCCCTGAGGCCCCCATCACTGGGGATCTGAGACAGGAGGGACGAAGGGGCAGGCAGGCAGCCCACTCACCAGCCTCGGCTAAACCTGACTGGCGCAGGGAGAGGCGGGCACCGTACTGGTTGCAGAAGGTGAGGAGCACCCGTTCCACGGGGCAGATGAACGGGTTGAGTCCCTCTGTGCACTGGTCCCAGAAGGTCAGGAAGCCAGGCCGAGAGGCCGAGAACTGGACCACTGTAAGGTGTGCAGAAACTGTCAGAGACAGGGCAGGCAGGTGGCAGATGAGGGTAGGGTGGGGCAGGACAGGAGTTTGGAGACAGATGCCAGAGCCAGAGACCACAGGGCCTTTACCTTCCTGGGCAGAGGTGGCAGGGATCTCCCATTGCCTGCTGAGCTCACACACCGCCTCGAGTACTCGGGCCTCGCGCAGCAGCCGCTCTAGGGCCCGTGCCTCCTGACAGCGCAGGGGCCCAAATGTGCCCAGTTTCTGGAGAATAGGTATGGCCAAGTAGCTCAGACCTCAGGGTAGGGCTGGGGGAGGGTGGAGCCCAGGGCCTATAAGTCCCAGCATGCATTGGGAAAAGCTGGGGAGAGCCCAAGTGTGGGAGGTATTCCATTCAGCAAGATCCAGATGCCAGGACCCTGGGGCAATGAGGTGTGGAACTTAGAGGAGATGTGGAGGGCCAGGATTGAAGTGTGGGGCTCCCTGGGGTAAGGGGCCACAAGGGGAAGGTGGGGGAACACTACCGGCCTCACCAGTAGGAGGTGACTGCAGTGGTACAGGTGCAGGACCAGGGCAGCATCCAGAGCTGGACACCCTGTGCTGAGGGGGCAGGCGCTGGGTGAGTCTAGGCTGTCCTCAGCCCCAGGCTCCGGGCTGCTTGGGGGCCTGAGAGAAAAATGGGGTCAGTCACCCCAGGAGCACGCATCATTACCTGGTCATGAGTGCATTTTTATTGAGCTCCCCCATCCCAAGATGAAAGAACAGAAGATACACAGATGACAGACAATGGGTAGGTTCACAGAACACTTCCAAAAGGAGGAAAGGGCTGGAACAGCAAGTGGCAGGGAGCTCTGTGGAGTCAGACTGTCCTGTACCACCTCCAGCTAGGACCGCCAGGGCTGGGATGGGCAGGACTCGGGCTGCAGGCGGGATGGTCTATGCAGTACAGGCTGCAAGGGGCTGAGGTCCAAGGGGTGAAGGGCACAGGGCCGTAACCTGGGTAGCAGGAGTGGGAGGAGCAACTAGGCACGACCCTCAACTGGGAAGTAGCAAAGGCTACTTCGAGACAGAGCCAAGGGACCGGGGCCTCCTGGAAAGCCAGAGTTGAGTTCGAGGGGGCCAATGCTAGGAGACCCAGTGTGCAGGGGGAAGCACTGAAAGGGCTTTTTCATAGAGTGGATCCAAGATGAGGCCAAGGGAAGGAGGAGGAGCTGGAGGCTCATGGGCAGATGGTTATTGGGAGGGGAGGCAGACATTGCAGACATGAGGAGGGTAGCTAGAAGCACTGGGGATTCAGAGCGGGCTGGAGACACCAGCATCAAGGAAACACAAGGGGTGTACATGGGAGGCGTACACACAGATGTACCTGCCAGGAAGTCCATCTCCTCCTACCCTTACATGTGCCCCACCTGGCCTGTTCCCCCCCTCACCTGGTCCTGTCTCACCTGTACACCTACTCACTTGCTCCTTCTCCACCTCCTTCCCTTCCCCTAGCGCTTTCTCACCTGTCTCCCACTCACTTGCTCTTCCTTCACCTAGCCCCTCACCTGTCCCCAGGACCATCATTGTCTTCATCTTCATCCTCATTGAGAAAGCTGAAGCTCTCCAGGGCATGCTCCACAGTGATGCTAAGACTGGAGGCCCGGCTCCGGGTCAAGCCTTGCCTCTGCTGGGGTCATGGAGAAAGTCAGAGCTGCTGCTACTGCCTGGCTGCCTTCATATGCAGCCTCAGTCTAGCCCAGCCCAGGCTTGGCAGACTCACCGTGAGCAGGCTCTCCAGCCGGGTCACCTCCTGCTCCAAGCTCTGCAGCTCAGGGAACTGACCACGATAGTCATCTAGGGCCGCCATTAGATTCCCCAGTGCCTCCTCCAGCCTCCTGTCTCCGGCCCTTCCAGCTGCCTCTGGGACTAAGGCCTGGGCACCCATGGCCGGGCTAAGGTCTGAATGCTGGGGTGCAGGGGCTAGGGGTGAGGGAGGGGGGCTTGGGCTCTGAACATTGGGCTCTGGGGTAGGGCTTGTGAGGGGTTCCCAACCAGAACAGGTGGGACTGGGGGAGGAGGTGCTGGGGGCTACAGGGTCTGCCTGAGTGCAAGGGGTGCAGGATGGGTGGCCAAATGGCAGGGAGTTGGTGCCTGAGAGGGTGGGATGTGTGTGCACAGAGGGGCTGGAGAGAGTAACAAGCTCTAAAGAAGTGGAAGGGCTTACAGTTTTAACAGTGGGGCTTGTGGCAGGATGGGTGAGGCTTGTAGTGGTCTGGACTAGGTTTATAGCACTGGGGGTTGAACTTGTAGTGGCGTGAGTTGACACCCTGGTTTTGTGAGTAGGGCTTGGGGCAGCGTTGGTGTGGCTTGGGGCAGCATGGGTGGGGCTCGTGGTAGTGTGGGTGTGGCTTACAGTAGTGTGGGTGGGGCTCGTCGTAGTGTAGATGGGGCTTATGGTGGTGTGGGTGGGGCTCGTGGTAGTGTGGGTGGAGCTTGGGATGGTGTGGGTGGAGCGTGTAGTGGTATGGGTGGCGCTTGTGGTAGTGTGGGTAGAGCCTGCAGTAGTGTGAGTGGGGCTTGTGGTGGTCTCAGCTGGGCCTACAGAAGTTAAGGTAGAAAGCATTGGCTTATGGGTTGGGCTTATGGTGCTCTGGACTGGGCCTGTAGTATTGGTGGTTGGGTCTATAGTTTCGAGGGTAGAGAGCACTGGCTTGCAGATGGGGCTTGTAACAGTATATGTTGGGCTTGTGACAGTGTGTTTGGGGCTTGTGATGGTCTGGACTGATCCTGTGGCACTGGGGGTAGGGCCTGTAGCACTGTGGGTAGGGCCTGCAGTAGTGAGGGTAGAAACCATGGGCTTATGGGTAGAGCCTGTGATAGTGTAGGTGAGGCTTATAGCACTGTGGGTAGGGCTTATGGTGCTATAGGGGGAGCTTATAGTAGAGCAGGTAGGGCCTGGCAGCTCAGAAGAACCAGAGTCTGTGGCCTTGTGAACTGGGTCTAGTTGTTCAGGTGGGGCAGGGTCTGCAGATGTGTGGGCAGGGCCTACTGTACTGAGGGTTGGGCTTGTGGTAGAATGACCAGGGTCCTGGGCAGGAGAGACAGGACTGAGGTATTCCCCCTGGGTGGGATCTGGGTGTGCAGGTGGGCTAGGTACCTGACCTAGGCTTTCCAGGCCCACAGCCTCCACTGAAGCCTCTGCCAAGGCAGCGTCCACACTGGCCTCGCTGATGTGACTCAGTGTCCGGCTATAGGGGGCATGCCCATTGGCCAGGGCTGGGGCCATGGCACCCTCCTCATTCATGAGCCCAGAGGTGGGGGTCTCAGGCCTACAGAAGGCAACTTGGATGGGCAGGGGCTCAGGTTGCTGCACCAGGGGCCTGGGGGCTGAGGAGTGGCGGGCAGCGCCTGAGAGCTGTGGGCTGGATGAGTCGTCCGAAGATTCGGATGATAGGGACCACGCTGTCCCATTCTCTAGCTCCTCCTGCCGTCGCAACATGTTCTGGGAGACAGAAAAGGGCATTTCAGGACCGCCCCAGAGGTTCCTGGGGAGTTGTGAGGCCATGGTCTGGGCTGCAACTTACATAGAAGGCCTGCTCCCGAAGCGAGGGTGTGTCTGGTGGGCTCTGGCTATAGGTGGAGAAGCGTTTGGTGACTGTGGATGCCTTGTTGACAGTAGAAGTGGCTGAGGGCTGGTCATCCTTGTCAAAGGGGCTGAGGAGGGAATGGACTATTAGCAGGCCCCACGGCACCCTAGCTGTGCCCCCAAACCCTTTAGCCCCACCAACCTCCATGTGACTTCCAGGCTGAGTTTAATGGTGCCAAGGTCATTGATGTCCACAGCCACAACCTGGGGCAGGGCAGCAAACAGGTCCTTGGTCTCACAGGAGACGCTGCCCACAATCACGTGGTTGGCCAGGCCCTTCAATTCTGTCACCTGTAGCCAAGAGTGAACAATGGGATCACATGGGTGTCGGGGCCATAAGATTATAGGACATAAGTGGTCTGAATCTGCAGGTCACAGAGATTATGAGAGGGTCATGAGGTCATACATTCACAGGGGTATGGGGTCATGAGGAGGTCCTAGGAATTGGAGTTCTCAAGTATGTAGAACCATGGAGAACTTGAAGCAGTCTGGGAGTATGGGGATCACTGAGGTCATGGGAGTCACAGCCTCATTGGGAACCAAGAGGTCAAGTAATCACAGGGTCAGAGCATCATGAGGAAGTCATAGGTCAAAGGGGCCATGAGATCATAGGAGTCACAAAGATTTTTAAGGCTACAGAGATTATGAGGAAATCACAAGGTTATGAAAGTCCAAAACCAAAAACCCACTGCCATCAAGTCGATTCCAACTCATAGTGACCCTATAGGACAGAGTAGAACTGTCCCATAGGGTTTCCAAGGCTGTAAATCTTTACAGAAGCAGAATGCCACATCTTTCTCCCATGGAGCAGCTGGGGGGTTTGAACCACCAACCTTTTGGTTAGCAGCTGAGCACTTTAACCACTGCTCCACCAGGGTTCCTTTCATGAAGGTCAGGAGGTCACATATTCACAGGGTCATTGTAGTAGACTGAATTATGTCTCCCCAAAATATGGGTTGTAAATCCTAACCTCTATGCCTGTGGTTATAATCTCATTTGGGAATGGGTTGTCTTTGTTATGTTAATGAGGTGGGATTAATAAAGGGTGTGTTTTGAGTCAATCTCTTTTGAAATATAAAAGAGATTAAACAAGCAAGTAGGTAAAGCTGAGATGGGGGAAGACATGCCAAGCCACATGAAGATTACGCAGAAGCAGAAGCTCAGAAGAGGCAAGGACCTTCCCCCAGAGCTGACAGAGAAAGAAAGCCTTCCCCTAGACCCAGCACCCTGAATTTGGACTTCCAGCCTCCTAAACTGTGAGAAAATAAATTTCTGTTTGTTAAAGCCACCCACTTGTGGTATTTTTGTTATAGCAGCACTAGATAACTAAGACAGCCACGGAGTCATGAGGGGTCATAGGGATTGGAGTTTTCAGAGTCTTGGCATCATGAGAGTCACAACAGGTTTACAAGGTCAAGGTGTCTTGTGGTCCTGGGCTGGGACATCACCTTGATGGACAGGAATTCTGTGAGCAGAGGCAGAAAGATGGTTTCCTCACTGTCCCACATCTGCTTCCCGCTACCCTCGATGCGGCCCCGTAGTTTCCAGCGCTGACGCCCATACTTCATGCAGATCTAGGTGAACAAGCAGGATGAGGGCAGCCCTTGGTGTGCTGACCCTGCCATCCGGCCCTTCCCTGCACATGCTCATACCTCATACTGATCGCCCACACATAGTCTGGCAAAGCCGGCCAGCCCTGTC